GTGTAAGTGTTTCAGCTCGGCTCGTCCTCACACACCGACTCTGTCATCAACACAATTGACATGAAAATAAGGAACCGGATCGTTCCTCAGAGGCCGGTCCGGTACTACAGTGGATTTGTTAGTGATGAAGACGTGGAGGTATCGTTTAATATTTAATCTGCACTAAACTGATCAGGAAAATGAAACTGGGTGGAAAGAAAACCTGATGAGAATTTATTTAAATTCTAATTTACATGTGTACAATATCCATTAACTCTAATGTACTTAGATTAAAGCAGTGGTTTCCGTTGTCAGTCAATTTTGACATCACAAATTTCTGGTGTTTTATTTACACATATTTTTAATTAGCTGCATTCTATTTGAACCTGATTTAAATTCAAGTATGAATACAGTTGTTTAATATTATGTGTGATGTTTCTAATTAATATAAAAAATAATAATAATTTGTTGAAAAATATTTTCATCAGTAATTAAAAAAAAAATTACATTTCAGGCCACCCGATTTGAACTCCAGGTGACCCCATGTAGAGTTGCGACCCTTGCGTTGAAAAACATGGAATGAGGATTGGATCAGTTTGGCAAAAATCCCACTACCTCATGAAATCTCACCAGGTTTTTAGGTTTGTGGTAGATGTTTAAAAAAATGCTGTATTTTTAAATTTGTGGCCACAACAAGGTGCACAGCTCCGTTAAATAGTGGAGCCCTGCACCATCCAATAGGATCACCACAGCCAGTGACGCGTGACTGACCACTATGTCTATTCATTCTTGTTCAGATTTCAGAGCGTGTGACCATCTGGACTGTACTCAGATGTCTCGTCCATCAGTTTAAACGCTCTGTTCTCCATCTTCTCTCCTCTATTTAATCTGAATAACATCATGTGGAAACCAAATTAAATAAAAAAAAATAAGAAAAAGCACACAGCCACCGGGGGAGCCATCTTCATTAAAGCTCTGCTTTAAGGCCGTTCTTTTTTAAAAATAGACAACAACAACAACAAAAAAAAAAAAAATCCCCTCTCAGTATTAAAACCTTCATTTTCTAGTCTCGGCAGATTTGATTTGTTTTTCATTAAAAGTTTTCCCAACACTGCTTCTTTTTATATATATATATATATATTTTACAATATTTCAGTGCAACATTTAAAATGTTGATGAAATGATGATTTAGACTAAGTGTGAGTTTCTAGATGCCACTTTTAAGGATGTTCCACAGACAGACCGACGTGGCGACAGTACAGACCTGACAGACGTCCCGTCAGTCATCCTGGGCAGACTGATGGTCACTTTCCCCCCCTCCTCCGTGTCCTGCTGGAACACGGCAGGTTTGGTCTTCAGCAGGTCTGGGGCAGTTCTGATGGAGACCTGCTGCTGGAGCCCCCCAGCACTGTTGCCCCGGCTCATCAGCACGAAGGAGTATTCGGTGTCAGGCTGCAGCTGAGTGATGAGGCTCCTCTTCAGGCTGCCCTGGACCTCCACACTCTGCTGGTTGTAGAGGATCTGGAGGAGGTTTGTCACAGTTTACTCTCTCACAACCAAACTTTGTGACCTCTGAGCGCCCGGCGTCCTGTGAAGCATTCTTCCTGACTCACTTTGTTACAAGGTGCTGGATGAATGACATGTGATTTAGCCACTCACTATTATTCACCCGCTGATCCCTGATCATAAACTTTTGTTTTGGCACTTGAGCTCATCATCAGGGCTGTGTGATGCCACTGGGCTGAGTGACAGGACAGACAGGGCTCCGTAACAAATGGCTGCTCATAAAGTGCGGCGACGGCGGGCAGAGGCAAACATGATGCCGATGGAAGTTTTCCTTTTTTTTTTAACTTGTGATTTATGGAGCAGCTGTTGTGTTAAAGAGACAAACTCAGCAGGAGGTTTAACAAAGTCACAGATTTGTTTGTAAATAGTTGTGGTGTGGAAGACGTTGAACGTCACGTGTTGGCCGGCCGTTATCCACTGGATCTGACCAGAATACGTGTTTGATGTCTTTGCTCTTACCTTGAGAGGAGCTTGGGACTTGTAGGACTCAGGAACCTCCCAGGTCAGCAGGACGGAGGTCTTCGTCACGGCCTTCACTCCAAAGTTTTTGGTAAAAACTGCAGGATGATGATGAGGATGGGAGTTATTAACTGGATGATTAAGTCATGAATAAAACATCAGTGTGATCACACAGGTGTCCTTGGTGGAGATTTGGGCTGCAAAAAAAATCCAGTTTTTTGTTGAATATTTTGTTGTTTTTTGGTGAATATATTTGCAAAGGTAGGTCGAGTGATGCCTTTGACTATGGTTGATGTCTGGAGAGAGAGAAAGGTCTGGGTTTTCAAATTGTAACTGATCACATGACACATGTTAAAGGTGTAATCCTAGCAGCCAAAGCTGATGCAGAAGTCCGACCGGCTCTTAGGATATAACTCGTTGTAAATACTTGTTTGGAAATATATTATTATATATATAAATATATAAATTATATGAAAAAATTAATTTATGTTTACTTTTGCTTTTCTTTCGTGTTGCGAGTGAAGTCTGTAAAAATAAGGAGATGAGAAGCAACGTAGAGTGAATAAAGAAAGGTGTTTATATCAAATCTATTCGTGTCGCATTGCTATTATATTTTTTAATACTTTTTTCACGCCCCCCTGCGTGGGCACAACACTACTGCCGCCGCCGCTGCTGCTGCTGCTGCTGCTGCTGCCGCC